CCCTCAAACCCTTTCTGGCATTTTTCAGGGCATCTTGGTAGTCCATCGGTATTGAAAGATCAGAGACACAAATGGTGGTACGCTGTAGTAGGAAAAGTCATAGTTTGATCACAGCGAGGGAAAAGTACGTCAAAAAACTAGTAAAACTGAAGAGACTCATGTAACACATTCAGCTCGCTATGTTTTGCAACTGAAATATTATTAGTATTAATAGCACAATTTATTTTCTTGTAAGACCTACACAGGAAGAAAGGATTTAAAAATGTGTATTTCACCTTTTTCTCAAACTGTCTTTTATCTCACCATTATCAGATATTATAGGAATATCACTGCTGTACAACTAAAACCCCCTCTTAATCTAATTCTGCAACTTTCCACAGCTCAACAATCACAGAGAAACAGTAGAGAAATCTCTAGCTCTAATTTCTTATATGTGCCATACCTCCTAAACACCAGTTTCTATTTTGTATTTCTTAAGACTTAGAAGAAATATATGCAAATTTTTAGGATTACTTACACCTACCATTTTTTCATTTTCAAAATGTCAGGGGCATTAGTTTGCATGTATCTCCACACATGCAGAGTTTGTCTGGCGCATACATGATAGTCCTGAGTTGCCACCTAAGTGCAGAACATCTGAGAGTTGCATGCTCAGTAGATCTGCTCATATGGAATGGGTTTGACATATACACTTGTCAGCCATTTATGTACTCCAGGTTCAACATAGAAGCAACTGGCAATTCAACAGAAAATCTGCCCAAGCCAGATGGAAAGTAGCCTGCTGTCTAACATGCTGAAGAGAAACAGGAATTTGGAAAAGAAATAAGAATCTCAAACCACCACAGAGAGATGAAGATTTGCTTTTTTCCAAGAGGTGATTTCAAATATGTTTCTTCCATTTGGATGGTAAAAAGTGGAAAGAAAAAAAAAAAAAAAAGTGAAAAGTAGCTTTGCAGACCATTAAGGCCTTAATACAGAGTGCATAGAAACTAAATTTCTAACCTTTCATGTGGTTCACTTCACATTAACAATGATATTAAGAAATACTCTACTATGGAAAATAGTATTTGTCACATAATATTACTGTGTTTTACAGTATGTTGACCATAGGAAAGTCATATTAACTGTGTTTCTTTAGGGCATGAAATGTATATTGCTGGATAGACTAGGTTTTCTTGAAAACAAGTTATAATTTATGTTTGATAAGAAGACAGTAAGCATGTGGAAGTATCAGAAACATGATAAATTTATCCCAACTGGGATTTATTCAAGAACAAACTCAATTTTAAACACCTCTATCTTCATCATGAATGATGAAGAAATGGGACATTTAAAACTACTGGAGGTGATAAGTAACACTTTAGAGGATCCGTCATTAAAAGCGGAAGCTATTCTGCATACCCAGAGGGTTTGTCCTCTCTCTTCCCTCCCATCCCCATTTGTTCATTTGCTTTCTGTGTCTTTTCTCTCTTTCTCTCTTTCTCTTTCTCTTTGTCTTCTTTCCTCCCTCCCTTCCTCCCTTTCTTGAATATCAACCTTGGAAGATGAAGTGTATGCCCACACAAAGCCAAATTCCAACCACTAAAAGATATATATGTGTATTTCTAACAGAAAATTGTACATTATACATATTCATAAATTTATTATTAGAAATAAACTATACTGCACACTTCAAGCTTTATGCATGCTAACAAAAAATTTCCCATCTGCCAGATTCTTTGATGAAGAACACAGGACTGGTAAAATAGTGTCTCCTAATAGGGTATGCCAGAATAAAGCCAATACAAAATTCAGGCATTTGGAGGTTCAAAGTGGAAGAAAGAAAAGCAAATGTGCTTTTGCAAAGCGTTACACTCTTGGTTAGAAAACTACAAGCAAAGTTGCAAAGGTGGAAAATAAAACAAAAACCACAACCCCAGTTACAAATAGGTTCTCCTTTATCTGTTCTGGAGTATCAGTTGTTATCAAACTTCTCATCCCAGGTCTGCTCTTCCCTTCTCTTTTCACTATAAACAAAGTTTTTCTAAACTAGTACCAGATGTCTCTGACTGAAAATTAATTCAAGTATATACAAGACTGTTACCTTAATTTATATTCATGTATCATGAGAATCCTTCATTGTATGTATAGCTTATTGAATTCACTATCTCTAGTTTATTTTTCAGTGCTGCAGGTGTCATATGTGACATATTAAATAAAGCTAACAGCAAAGATATCACACAGAACTCTACCTTGCACCTATTCCAAACGTCAATGTATTTCACTGATTTTAAAGGTATACACTGATCCTACTTTGTGCCAAAAGTACACTGTTTCCAATTTTCTTCATCAAGGCTACATTTTAGCAATCTAAACTTTGCGTACTTCACTAATGCTTTTAGAAGGATTAAAATAATCATGTAAACTTGGATTTTGCTTCTTCAATGTGTTTGGAGGAAGTCAATACCTATACACTGCCTGATCTGCTGTTTTTTTCTCCTCATCTTGTGCAACTTTCTTTCTCTGAATTTAAAACTTTCACATCATGAACAGGGAGCTTTTACTGTACTACTCTAAGCTGGTGCTATATTTGGGTGGTTGCACTTTCCAAGTGATTATCCTACCATAAACTACTCTGATAGCATATTTTTCTGTTAGGAAAGCTTTTAGCTCTTTTGCTTGTAGCTACTTAGACTCAAGCAAATTATGTTCTCACTAACTATTTTTCTATCAGCCTTCAAAAGGAACAAGATATGTTGCACCTACTTCCTTTGATACTGTTCTCCAAAAGTAACCACATGTACTCTACTGTATTTGATATAAGGCCTGTAACAATTGCATTCTACAAATTTATCCTTACATGCAAATATTTTTGCAAATTCAAGCCACTGCATATTTTTGTAAATTTGAAGACATGACATCTACATCGTTCAGACACCTTGCTTCAAATGTGAATAGTTCTGTATTGCTCTGCTTATAGATGTGTTGCTTCCCAAATAGGCACAAGCGGTAACATGTACTTTGTTTGTGAAACCATTACACTGTAGTTTTCCAAGCACTTGAAAAGTTACTCTTAGGATTATTAACTCTAAAAAGGTATTACTCAATTGTGTGTCTATAAACTTCTTCCACAATCATTAAATAATGATGAAATCTACTTCTGTAGATTTAACCATGTCTTTTAAAGACTTGGGATTATTTTTTTTTCCTGTAGAAATGGATTAGGTATAATGCCTGAGTTTATTTTGTATTATCTGCTCCTCTATAAGATTTTTTTTACTTGCTTCCTCTTTACATCCAATACTTCGTCCTCTAAACTTTAACCCTACAAGTCTGTTCTGGCTTTATCATTGCTTTTCATCTGTTTTCTCTGTTGTTTATACTGCTTCTCTGATTTACACATAATCAAAATGATTTGTAAAATAGCCTAGTCTCTCTGATTCCTATCACTTCGGTAGTTCCATAAATCTAAAAAAAAAATCTAAATGGAAGGGAGTTTTCACCCTCAAAATAACAAAAGATTTATATATCAGAAAATACAAAATGCAAAAAGATAAGCAGGACTGAAGTCCAGTCCCTTCTGACACTTATATGCCTACAGAACATACTCAGTAATATAAGAAGCCACAATAGAACAGCGTGGAAAAAATTATATATGGATTAAAACTAGATTCCTAACAACTATCTCTTCAAATGCAGAAAGAACAGAATCATAATTTCTGCAGGAGATGTCCATTTCATAGTGAATTACTGAAATCATGAAAATTATAAAGATGTTATTAAAGTTACAGTACATATCTACAACATAGAGAAACCTACATTTGATAGTACTAGATACCTCTTTATCCAAGATACTCCAGCAAATTTTATTTCTTAACTGTCCTTACCATGTGCTTGGTCTAAAGTAATAGAATCATAGAATCATAGAATCAAAGAATGGTTTGGGTTGGAAGGGACCTTAAAGACCATCTAGTTCCAACCCCACTGCCATGGGCAGGGACACCCTCCACTAGACCACGTTGCCCAAAGCCTCATCCAACCTGAGTTGTGTAAGGAACACAAGTTTCTCCACAGAGATTTTTAACACAGATAAAATCAGTACTAAATGTAAGATCTATTCAAAGAAAACATAAAATATATTCACATTAATCACAAAGTGATAAATCATTCTTAAAAATAAAGTTAAAATAAACATTGGCCTTGCAAAGAAGTCAGCAGAATGATCTTACAATATTAAGCAGGATCATTGTGCAGTACTGACAGAGTCTTTACATCACAACATTTTTTATTCCCATCTATTCTGAAATCTAAAGCCAGATCCTCAGCTCATGTCCTTCAAAAGTCACTGCAGTCAATGAGAACTCAGCACCTCAGTGCTTGCTGAATCCCATCCTGCGCATTATAGCAGCCAAACTAATGTCTGTAGTTAGCTTCTAATCTTTCAACTAAAGTTTTGTACCTGGTCAAGAACATCTGACCTGGAAAATATTTACAGGATTGGAATTATTCTGCAGAACCATATTCCACAAAGTTAATTCAGTATTTCTGTTGTCTGTGAATTATATGTGGTATGTTATGGAATCTTTCCTCCTCTTTTAAGAATCTCAGTGATTAGCCCTCTCACCATAGAAGTATTATCCCCATTTGCTAATTCAAGCCTTGTACTACTTAGCCCCTCATTATCTAAAGAGATTAACATTTTAAAAACATCTTTTTACAAAATAAAGTGCTGTGAAAAGTATTTTTTGTTGTTGTTGTTGAACATATGGAAGGCACCATGTAAGAGAAAAATATAATATGAAAATGTCCAATTTTTTATAAACTAACTTGTTTTTTTCTGTTTAGAAAATTCAATAAAATCCATAAATGTTGATCAAATATGTAACATTTTCCCCAAGTAGGAAAAAAAGAACAAGAAAAAATGTTATCAATGTAGAGAAAGCAAGCATATTGGAGCTTTTCTATTCTACTACAGCAACTAAGATAATGAACAGAGAACAAATGGTTGACGTATCACCTACCCATGGGAGTTCCAACGCCGTAACCTTTTGAGTCTATCAGGCCTCCAATCTGTGTTAGGTTACAGTTCCGCTGTGTGACAAACTCAATGGTTGTCGACTCCATTAAAAATGCATAATCAGAGGTAAGCACACGCTGGATACCTTCTTCATTACTTTTGACAAGTACTGACTGCCTCCTACTACTCATGAAGGCCCACATCTTGTCGTAAGTGGAGATTTTGGATTTCTGAAAGACAAATATTAGATGCAACATGAATAAGAATAATATGCTTATAAGAGTGAAAGCAAATTCTCAGTTTGCACGTTTCTCTTATCATATTTTACTACGTGTCAGGTTTCACCAAGGCATTCTTGTAAGGGTGCCTGTACTTTTCATCTCTTCTGTACGTCTCATCTTGTATGTGTAAAACAAATCAGCTGGACAGATTCTCAGGAAAATGCACAATATCTGTTGTTTATCTATCTGGGTTTTTTTTATAGTTTATATGTTTTTTGTAGGATGCAGGTCTACAATTATTTGAAGTCAGTGGAAAACTATCAAGCATTTCACTGTAGCCAAGTTCATCAACAATGTGGGTGAGTGTTATAGGAGAATCTGTGGATTCTTACACATTTGAAATTTTCACTCTTATTTCAATCAGAGACTCTTGAGCAATTCTGAAAACCTAATGCATAATGTGGCAACCTGAAGTAATCAAATCACTTACAGATGGCAGTATATGGAGAAAACAGTTGTGAGGGAGAGGGCAGCAAACATTTTATCCATGGTACACTGCAAAAATACTTGGAGAAAGATTTTAGGTAAGAGATAGTATCACACTCTGGTCACAATAATACTAGCTTGCCATTCAGAAATTAACTACTAAAAGTCCTAAAAATGAACATGTGTTTTCTGCTTTAATATTTCCAGCAAGCAACAAACTGCCATGATAGGGAGAGGCAGTAGCTTGGGACAAAGTGATGCTGTGCAACTATAGAGGAGTTGCTTCCTTTCTTTCACCTCAGCTTCTTTTAATAGAGATATTGCCTTCCCTCATCTTTTTAAAACACAGTACTTAAGTAATCATAACCACTGGTTAAGTTGAAGGTATTAGAAGTATTGAATATTTTATATTACATTTGCCCCGTCTGTTTAATAATGTTTCAAACTGAAGATGTATCAGAAAATGTTCAATAATGTTAAATCTTGCCTTGTAAATAAAATGTAGAAATACAGCATAAGAACTACTATAATCAGACTTTTTAAGGAGTCTTTCATCTTTTAATGTCAGCCATAAACATAACTCTGCCATCAGCTCTGGTGGAGATACTAAACAAAGATTGACACTACAAACCTTTCTGAAGTTCATCTTGGCAGCCATAAATTCTGCCCCAGAGGAGAATTAGAAGTGTATGTGGAATAAAGAGAACATTTATTTAGAAAAAAAGATGACTTTGTCCCCCTGCTGAGATGCAATCCAAGAGTTATTTCACTCTGCCTGGGGACTTAGAAAATCAAGCATTTGAACTAACTCTAATGTCAGTGCTAACAAAACTGAAGACTTTTAGGCCTCTGCATGAACACATTGTAGGTATGTACCAAACATAGTCTGTGGCTGATTGCAAAAAGAAAGAGGAAATAATTTTTCTTCAGACTATACTGTGAATGCATAGAATAGAGAAGATCAAACAGATATGGTCTCTCCTCGTAGGATTTGCTTAGAAAATCAAATAATTCTTGCAAGCATTTAATATTGCACTGTAGCTTAACATACCTTAAGCAATGCACATCAGCTCTGTAGGAATCTAAATTACTATGTAATACAGAAAGGATGGAAAATGAATGTTTTTCAATATTTGTAAAATTTTACCAAGAGCCTGTACTTAATTCTTTTGACATACAATCTTTACCTCAGTTCACAAAACAAACAGTTTAGCCACTACAAATAATCTGAGCAATATAAAAAATTGGCAGAGAAAACAATTTTAGTAAACTGTAAGATAAATGTTGCTTATGTATGTTGAGGGGGGAAAAAAAAAAAAAGAAAAAAAAAAAGAAAAAGCCAAATCAGCTATAATATAAAATAAACAAAGAATAAAGAACTGTAATACATATGCATTTCTATATTTCTGTTAAAAAAAAAATAAATCCAGGATGAAAACATGTTAGCGGGGGAATGGTTGTTCTCTACTGAAGCAATAGAGCATGTGTAAAAATACAATATCCTCTAAAGGACAGAGTGCTCATAGTACGATGACTGATTTAATCGGCTAGGGTAAAGCCACAGCTATTACTGAAAAGGAAGGAACAAAGGTCACAAAAAACCCAAACAAAAAAAACCCCAAAATCCCAACAATCCAAACAAAAAAAACCACCACAGAAATCTCCTTCATAGGATAGCTCACTTACTGGAATAATTAAAACAAGAATAGTAAAAAAAAAAGTCTACATATGATTAGTGAGACTGTAGAAGATAACACAAAGCCTAGGACACCAGTGCACATGGCTCACCAGTGTGAAGCTAACAAGGGTGATAGAAAGTGCGCAGTGATCTCTCAGTTTTCTCATATAGGAAGAACACTACAATGTCTTTGCACTGCTTTCTTCCACCACTAAAAGCTGAAAGTCATAACTGAAATTATGCCAAGGAAAACAGCCAATCTACTTGTGACCTCTAAATTCTAACTAGCATTTCAAAATTCTTACTAAAAAAAAAAGTGGGTAGTAGAGGGTATGTGATTTGTTTTACCCACATCAGAGAATGTTTTACCTGAAAATAAAAAAACAGCACTTGATTCAGGAAAATACAACCACAAATTGTTTTCCTCTGTGTTTCGCAAACTACTTAGCAGACTCACATGACTAAAATCAAGAAGCCAGAACAATCAAAAGCATCAGGAGCCTATTTGATATTGAACTAAAGAGAATGACACTCCAGTATGTACATACTGCTTCTTGCGGTTATGACTGTGCCATTCATACTGATAGAAGCAGATGCTGCAATTTACGTTATGTTTCCATATTTTTTCACTGTGTGCAAATCAATCTGGTTAATCAACTTATATACTCCATCAATGAAGTGTATTATTTTATCTAGGTTATTTCACCATATTGTTTCATCTAACTGGAAATCACTGTCTGGAAATCCAACCTAACTTGAAATCAACTGGAAATGATGTCTGTATAAGATAACTTGTGGTGACATGATTTATCATGCTTGTGTTCCCTCAGTAATGCTGAAGACAATGCAGAGCAGTAAGAAAGCTCCCTATGCTTTGCAACATTTGAATTTCACTGTAATAAAAGAAAGAGAACTAACTAACAGGAAAGATGGAAATGAAAAGGTTAAGCAGATCAAGAAACTCATCTACCTGGTGCATAAAATGGTAGCTCTCACAATGACATTCAGAGGATAGTCAGTGACATACTCAGAGTTCATAAATTAAAGATCATTGGAAGATAACTGTGCATGTCAGGGATCACAAAAGGAAGCATGGCAAAGGGTCTAAGTTAGTCTAATGTTATGTACAAATGTGAGGCTGGAAATAGAAAGAATCATCATTAGTACTGTGTTACTGCTCTATCCTGAAGCACTGGCTAGGAAAGACAAATATCTGAGCAGTGAGACTCTGGACTGCAAGGTTAGAAAAATATCAGGATATTGAATGAATGCCAGAATAAACAAGAATCAAAAGACATGGAAGCAGACCTCATAATACAAGACAAGATTGGATAAATGCACAGCAAAAATGTGCCAGGCAAATTCTGACATTTTTCTACAAAGGAAAAATTACAGATCCATTAAAGGAGACTTTTATTTTAATGATAGCATCCAACTTCTTTCCTGGCTTCTAAAAGCATGTGTCACAGACAATGCTTCAGTTTTGCTTTCACCCATGCAATATTTGAACTCAAAAAGAGGCCGTAGTAACAAAGGAAAGATTAAAGGTAATTAAGATTAAATTTTGAGAAAAAAATAAGTAAAAAAAAGTCATAAACCCCGGTCTTATATATTTTATGAAAGCACTCTCCCCCACATAAGAATTAAACCATGGCAATCCTTAAGTCAAACCCCCTCCTCCCCCCCCAACTCCTAATCCTACTACACTATTTTCCATTTATGAAACTGCCTATAACAGCTATGTGACTTTTGTTTTTCTGAGCATTGCATTTTTAGTGGACACAGGCCACTTTTTAAAATTTGATTCATAGGGTTTTTTAAGGCCAAAGGCTCATTTTAAGGCTCATTTATTCTGATCTTTTGTAATACACAGATTGTGAAATGTCACTTCTGAATTACTTCACCAAGATCATCATCTATGTGTTTGCATTGACAAAAAGAATGACATATGAAAAGTGCATTCATAAAGACCCATCTCTGTGAGCCTTAGCAAGGTGCCCAACTTCCTTGATGGTAAGTTATGGACTGGACAGATGGAGCAGCTACAAGTGGAGAACGGGCTGAGATGTTGATCTTGAAAGGTGGTAGTTAATAGCTCAAGGCCAGATTGGCATCTTTTCATGAGTGGAGTGCCTCACAGTTCAGTCCTAGATCTGATACTATTCAATATCTTTATACACAGTTTGGAAAATGGTATTGAAAACACCCTCACCAAATTTGTGGACAACACAAACAGAGGAGAGGTAGATACACTGGAAGAAAGAGCTACCATGCAGAGAGACCTCAAGAAGCTGGAAAATTAGTATAACAGGAATTGCATGACATTTAACAAAGATAAATGCAAAGTCTGTCCTGGGAAAAAGTAATCTCAAGCATCTATACTGGCTGAGAATTGACTGGCAGGAGCGTATCTTGGCTGAAAAGGACGTATGAATCCAAGAGGACAACAAGCTGAACAGCAGCCCATCCTTCCAGCAGGAAAGCAAACTGCAGACTGTATCAGCAAGACTATAGCCAATAGAACAAGGAATGTGATTAAACCACAGTACTTGGCATTTGTCAAGCCACACCAGGAACGCTCTGCCCAGTTTTGGTCCTCAAAGTTCACAAGAGATGTTAAAATTGGAGAGTGTCCACCAAGGTGATCAGAGGGTTGGAGATCAGTTTGACATTTTGTTTTGACAGATGTCCTAAATCTACATAGCTGTGAAATAAGGTAGAAAATACATTTCTGATGTTCTTAATAGCAGCAAAAGCACTAATATATCTCAAGATTTTTTCAAAACATAAGAAGTCTAGATGTCAAATTTAGGTGAAGCAAACTGTATAGACGACCCTCTTATGG